CTCCACAGAAGTCCCACGGGAGTCTTCAGGAGTCCTGAGAAATCCCTTGAAAGTCCCACCTGACTCCTACAGGATCCCGCAGGACCCCGTGACAGGAGTCCCGTGGGAGTTTTGCCGGGAGTCTCGACTAGGGTCTAACTAGCATCGGGGGCGAGTCTCGAACTTTATCTCGAAAGGAATTTCCTCGGATCGAAGTAATAGTGGAAGAAGAGGTCGTTAAATTTTATTTCTTTTTATTGGAATCGACTCCGTGAAGTAATGTGACTCCGGTAATAGAAAATAAAAAGGGAATTTTTCCTCATCAGGTTCAAAAAGCGAGTTCGACAAGGGAAATCGATTTGAAGATTAATTAGCTAAATATAAGTTTTTTATTTTAAATCGGTTTAATTGAAAATATTTGTTTTTCTTTCTATTTTCACTAGACGAACTTATTTTTGTATGTTTTGGAAAAATAAACTGTTTTCTTAAAAGAGCGACATCTGTCGCCTTGCGCTAATGCGTATTTTTAACTTTTAACTCCACTATTATTTCATTTTATACATTTATTTTCTATTTTTAATAAAGATCTTTTAAATTAAAGCCTATTCAAATTATTTGTTTTGGCCATGATGACTCAGAAAATTAGTTCAGTTCAGTTTAGTTTTCAGTACAATACAACACAAGTAACGTTCGTCATTTTGACTCACGTGGCCCTTGACTGTAAGATTCTACTTTATATGAGTGTACATGAAATATTCTAGAAAGTATATGGGCAAAGAAGAAAAGTGTTCCCATAATTCTCATAAAGAAAAACTTTTGTTTTCTTAATTCGAGTGAAACACCGTTCATCGATAATAGTAGCTCATATCAACCAGTCTTCTTTCTAGTAGCAAAAGAATGCGAAGAACGAGGCTTATGCAACCATACATCCCTGAAATGTTCAAATGAGTGATAACACTCAGTGAGGGTTTTATACAGAAAGCAATTAAAAAAACATAAATCTAAAAGTTTTCTGGAAACTTTCGAAAGATCCTCAGGTACGCGATGACACTGTTTACTTCACTCAAACATAAACTGAGAAATCGATACAAACTCGAAAAGTTAATAAAAACTCTAGGGTACGTAAAAGTGCTACCAATAGATTATCCACGGTTGGCTACTTATTACAGTACATTCTCTGCTCAAATAAACTGATTCTATCAGTTTTACGTCGAAATCTGTCTTTAAAACACTCCGACACTCAACCGCTTTTCACTTGACATATTTAGTCATTACACTAAAAAATCACACGTTTTAACCATTCCAATATGACTCGTAAAACGTGAGACCGCATTAGTTATCTGGGACTGAATACACAAATAAAACCCCATGTTTAAATCGTTAGGTTGCGCGACCGCATAGTTTAAAATGAATTACTCTTTCTTTTATGTGATTTACAGACAAATCGGAGTATAAAAAGCTATATTTTTATTCAAGACGGAGCGGTTAGGATTGGGGGAGGGAGGTCGACAGTCTTTTGAGGGGCGACTGCCATCGAAATCATATAGAGTGCAAGGAAGATTTGGGGGCGCATCCGTCGGACACCTTCCCGGACCAGCTCTGTTTTTATTATAATAACCTCACTGTTACGAATATAACCCTTTTAAAAAAAATCAACAGAACAAATAAGAAAAAATATAAAGCTTCCATTTATTTCCCGCTATTCAACGAGTGCGAGCATTGTTAATTTCATTTTTTCCTTAATTCTAGATAAAATCTCATTATAATTATATGTATCAATAAGGAAAATTCGATTGTTAACAGCAAACCCCATCTAAAAAAGTAATATACAGAAATAAGCGATAAAACCAGAGATGCAGAATCTACCTGTGTACGCGTAGGATCATACGTGGAAACGTTTTGGAAGCTGTGGAAATTTTTGAAAAATGTTCCAACGGAAACAGTGTAGAATTTTTTCACATAGAAAAATTTAAGAAATAAACCGATAAAAGCCTTTTCTAAATTTCAAATGCGGAAATTTTCCAAAACTTTTACTATATGTGAAAAATTTTCAAACTTACGGGTACACTCTGCACCTCTGAGTAAAACCTTAAATCCCTTGGCTGTATAATCACTAGCAAAAATAGTGAAACAGCGTTGCAAACTATAACTGAAGGCAAATACTTTAAACTTCTTACAGCTTCTACAAAAATTTGTCATTAGGAGCTCTCTCTTAGGTAAAAAGCTTGAACGAGGAAACGACTAATATGTCGACTGATGCATGATGACTCAGTTATGTACTTTGCTTATATGTCTCCTGAACTGAATTCACTGAATCTATATCTTAAATTAAACGAAGATTCTATTACCGTCAGATTGATACGGTTAAAATCTCAGGGTAAGACGGTTAAAGCGTGCGTTTTTTTTTACAGTATACATCTTACGTTGTGTTTATGTTGACTTCATTAATATGTTGTGTGCTCTCTAACGGCTTTTCGCTTTTGCCTCTTCTGATTGGTTAGTCCATAGACTACTTTTCGCCCATTTTTCCATGTTTTGTAGATGGACAGACAGACACAGTTAATTTTCTAGACCCTTTCCAGCCCTGTTGTGTAAAATAAAGGTAAAAAGAGAAATTATTCGATCTCAATAGTGAAGATAGCGGCTCGACGAATCATCAGACAATTTACTTTTTTTATTTATCTTTGTATCTTTATTTTTACAGGACCATCGTTTCCTCACAGTCAAGCAAAAAAGAAGGTACAATCGCCCGTTGTGTTGCTAACATGTAGACTGACAACTGATGATGACTCATACAATCGAAGGCAAATAAGCGCCATCTCCTTTTTAGTGTGTGAACTCCGAGCTCGTTGGATAGAAATGGCAATTATAATCCAAAATTATGATATATTCTGTTTAAAATGATCAAATTTTTCGGACAATTAGTGCTTAATGAGAAAAGTCTCTGATGGCGCTACCGCATATTTCAAGGTGGTCGTTAGCGCAAGCAGTGACTTCTCGTGTCTGTCCGAGAGATCTGACTTTTTTAAATAAGACTTTCAATATTTTCTGCTTGTATCCGAGTAGACTTGTGACAGTTCGTAGTTCTTTGAACTGCAGTTCCTCAATAATGAGAACTAATTTCCAGTTTTCGTTCGTAGAAACGAGGAACGGTTTACTAGCTCCAGTTTCTGTGAATGGGACTACAGTTCTTTTTGAACTAGGAACTGCTCGGTACACCAGAGCTATATTGTTTATGATTTACTCACCCTCTGTTCATATCTTTAACATGTTAGTGGAAGAGAGATCATTGAAAAGAATATATCCAATGGTTATTGTGTTTTAGCTGGATGATACCAGTTTCGTTATTAAATTATGTAGTTTCTTTTCAGGCTTTTTCATCTTCTGCTTAAGTTAGAGGTCGCAGGGTGGAGAAGTTTAGTGTCTAGTTTGCTGTGCCGAATGATTTGTCTATTGAACTCTCAGTGTTACAGGGACCGTTGAAAATCCAGCGTCGTATATAGTCATCGTAACCAATGACCTGGGGAGCTTTCAATCCAATGAATTTGAGTCCCACACATTTAACATTGATTATATTTTTTCATACAACTGATTTTTGCCAGTCCTCACAGTATGCACGTTTATATAACAAACGGCTCTCTTTGTTATTGCGGCATACAGAGACGTATTACGTGCATGCTAACAAAAGCCATTTTTTTGTCTAATCCAAGTGACAAACGTCTTTAGTGTATCGTACGATTGATCCCTTCTTTTCATATGTGGAAAGCAGGAAAAGAAAACCATGCTTTAGCAAGTATCATACATAGAATGATAAACATTTTTGTTTGATAAAAATTAGTAGAATACTCAACTTAACATCGTAATTAAGCAGCTAGATTACAGATTTCTTGGTAACTTCTCGAGCGTAGAAGAGCTCTAAAATAGCTATTTCAAACTGGAAGCGACTAAGGCTAATTTATTCACGAAAAATGAGCATGAAATTTTATCTTAATAAAAGTGTGAAAGGGCTAACTTATGAAATGTAATTTCACACTTCAAACGCTTTTTTCTTCCCTTCTGTTATATTCCCAAATATAATCTTGAATAATATTCTATCTTGTTCACTTTATTTACTAATTACATGCTAACACACTCCTTTACGCTTGAAAAACATTGGTATTTATATATAAAATTTACATATAGTTGCACATACGAGCAACAGATGGGAAAGAGTAATGATCTCAGTAAAACAGGGCGTGACATGACGTCAGTAGGAGTTTTTTATTCTGATTATTATTACAGACTGTCGTTGTTTGATTAACCAGCGATCGTTGATTGATATACTTTATACTATGTCCCCACTATAGAAGTTACGAACTAGAGAGTCTGTCACGTCCATGTCGTTCTTTATCTGGAGACATAAGGAACATACGAGGATTTGCATTATAATATGACCCTTAGAAGAGAGTCTTGTATTTGATCCCTTCAGTAAATGTACTTTTTATTAGTATTTTCAACAGGTGAAGGGCAAATTGCTTTCGAATTGTATCAGATGTGTGCATAGCAGCAAAGTAGATATTTCTAAGCAGGAATTTATTGAACATTAAGTTCTGTATGAATGAGTTATATGAACATTTCCACGAGACCTACTGTCAAAGACTTATGAGGTTCTGAATAATATGATAGTTTAAAGAGTGTGAAAATAACTTTGTACCACAGAAGATCAAAACTTTTAGAAGGCAAAATATGTAAAATTACGCATTTTTGAANATTGTATCAGATGTGTGCATAGCAGCAAAGTAGATATTTCTAAGCAGGAATTTATTGAACATTAAGTTCTGTATGAATGAGTTATATGAACATTTCCACGAGACCTACTGTCAAAGACTTATGAGGTTCTGAATAATATGATAGTTTAAAGAGTGTGAAAATAACTTTGTACCACAGAAGATCAAAACTTTTAGAAGGCAAAATATGTAAAATTACGCATTTTTGAAGACTTTATATCGAAGAGTTCAAATTGTTAGTCGAGGATCCTGTGCTCTAGCTAGAAAAAGTTTACTATTTAGTTTATCTGTTTTGGGCTCTCAAAAGTACATTTTTTCATTTTTTTTTCTCGCTTGTGAGTTTATCTAATTTAGTTTATTGGAAGAAGCTTATACTCTTGATTTTGCATCACACATTCACTGATTTCCATCTAACTTTCGTGCCTATCATATTCTGACTCGTCAAGATTAAAGAAGACGTAATAGTATATGAGCAAGTCGCTACAAATAATGTAGGCTATCAAAGATTGCATTGGTTGTGACTCTTTGCTAAAAAGGTTTTTACTCTGAAGGATTTTGATTTAGGCCATTCAATGCATGCACACCCTTTTCATTGCTGAGTATTATATGATTCAAATTTATCTTATAAACGGCTGAGACCAAAATGAGATATTAAATTGTTCAGAAGTATAAGAAATTTCGTCATTTTAGATATCAATAAATTATTGAAATGTATTTATAATAGAAGATATACTTCAAGCAAAACTTGCTTTTAACTGTTCTAACATTCATATGCCTCAACTTGATGCATTAACAAGTATGTTTATTAAATGGCTGGCGGTGTTAGCGTGCGTCGCTATTATATTTACATTCGGTATACATCAGATTCCTGAAGGACATGTTGGAGTTTATTACAGGTAAATATTTCTGGTTGTAGTTAGAAATTAATTAAATTTATTCAATTTCTCTTTTCATAGAGGTGGTGCACTACTAAAATCCATAAGTGATCCAGGCTATCATGTGATGCTCCCAGTTTTAACATCTGTTAGAATTGTGCAAACAACGTTACAGACCGATGAAGGTATATTTGATAATGTTTGTTTATCACACATCTGTCACTGTTATTCTCTTTTTTTACTCTAGTCAAAAATATTCCGTGTGGTACCAGTGGAGGTGTAATGATTTATTTTGAAAAAATTGAAGTTGTCAATATTTTAAATAGAGACGCAGTGTATGATATTGTTAAAAATTACACTGTCTCATATGATCGAACGCTGTAAGTCTGAATATTAATAAAAAAAATAAAATAAAAATGTAATTAATATATTATTATAGAATATTTAATAAGATTCATCATGAAGTAAATCAATTTTGCTCAATACATACTCTTCAAGAAGTATATATTGATTTATTTTCATCAATCGACGATCATTTAAAACGTACATTGCAAACAGATTTAAATTTTCTTTCCCCAGGATTATATGTATCGTCAATTCGAGGTTAATTAAAAGATATCGTTTTTGACTTCTAATGACTTATATTCATTTTGCTTTTTAGTCACAAAACCAAAAATTCCAGAAGCTATTCGAAGTAAGTATCAATTATATTATTTACAGTAGTTGTAGAAAAAAAAGACGAGAATTTTGTGTTTGTGTAGGAAATTATGAAAGCATGGAACAAGAGAAAACGCAATATCTGATCACAGCTGAACATCAGAAAGTTGTGGAAAAAGAAGCAGAAACTGACCGAAGACGAGCAATTATTGAAGCGGAAAAAGTTGCTCAAGTGGCAAAAATCCAGTTTGAGCAAAAAATCATGGGCAAAGAAAGTGATAAAAAAAGTGAGTATATATTGGATAACAGAAGACATGTAACATCTCAAATTCAATGTACATTATATAAATTTGATTGATGGATTGTTCAACGTAGGTGGTAAACTCTAAGTTGAAAGATGAAATCTTGTGTAAAAGTGTCACTTTTACGTTCCTATTCGAATCATACAAATAAAATTTTTTTTAGTTTCCGAAATCGAAGCGGAAATGCATTTAGCTAGAGAGAGATCGTTAGCCGACGCTGCAAAATATAAAGGTAACTATTCACTTCTTTCTTTCTGTTGATTAAGTATAATTATGTCTCTGTATTTTTCAGCCGAATGTGAAGCAGAATCAAATAAAGCCAAATTAACACCTGAGTATCTTCAGTACTCAAAATTTCAATCAATTGCACAAAATTCGAAAATCTATTTTGGTACTAGCATTCCACAAATGTTTATCGCTGGTAGTCAAATCTCACCGATACCCTCTAAAGACAATTAATTCAGAAAACAGTCAACATATCCTTTTTTCTTCGTGTATTGTTGTTAACTGCTATGTGAACAAAAAACTTCTTTGCTTTTTTTATTTATATACTCAATCTGATTTGTTTTTTCGTTTCTGCTGATGTTCTGTGATATTTGCTATTTCTGAAATAATCAATCGTGTTGAGATCCACTGTAATTCTCAATTTAGAACAAAAAAAGTAATTTATTGAGATAAAGTGTGTACTCTTCGCTCACCATGCTGTTTTACTGTATCAATTTTTGTTTTAATCGAAATGTTAAAGCGTTTTCTTCGTTTTTTTCTAAGTATCAATAAAATAAAGCTGTTGTTGTTTTCCTGAAGCTAATATATTCATTCTGAAATCATTTCCAGAGACAAAATCAAATCTATCATAACCAGTGTTTTCGATAGTAGTTTTTGTAGGGGGTGGAGAGTCTGCTGAGTAACTAAATTTTTTTATTGAGTAACGCATTTTTGGACCAAAATTTTTTTCTGATTAACTGCATGTTTCAAGCTAATCAAGTGGATTGATTGCTGCTGGTGCTGAACGCTTAGTTGTACATTTTTCTTTTAACTGTTTTAATGCGGCATCATATTGTTCAAAACTTAATGGGTGTTTATTAGTGCAATGTCTCGTAAAATTTTTTACAACTGTAGATTCATGGCAAATAGGACAACTGCCAGACTGATTACAAAGAAACATACTCATTGAGAGATTTAAATTACGTTTTCACCTTAATTATTAACTGTTGTTAAATGAAGTGAAAGTGTAGAACCGTTCAGTGACATTTTTTTCTTCTCAGTAAATAAATGAGTTACTCAGAAGCTGGAGAAAATCACTTACTCAGGCGCACAAAAGCGAGTTTCTCGGTAAATAAATGAGTTACTCAGGTGCATAAAAGGCAGTTTCTCAACTTAAATTTCTTAAAAATTTTCTGAGTAAGTCAAAACTTTTTGAGTAACTGTATCCAAACGACGGGGTGGTATGCCACCCCCTACCACCCCCTAATCGATAACACTGATCATAACAAATCACTTTTCCTTTACGTCATAATTGTTATTCAATATCCATAATATTCCATTGATTATTTGTTTTGTTTGCTCGTTTTTTGGTGTATTCGTACCCATTATGATTCAAAATTGGTTTGTGTTTTTCAGTAGACGTGAAAATTAATATTTTGATGAACAAGACACTTTAACTTCTTTAGATTTAAATTTGTGATAGTAGTGGCTAACGTGGCGCATTTTGCCACATACGCGCACCTAGTATTGTGTGCAATACCCACCGTCGCCATCTAAATTGTTCGAGGGTACAACACTTTATTATTTTGAGGCACGAGCATAGATATCTGGGACGAAATTCAGAAAAAAGGCGTCATGGGAAGTCAGTTTGGGACGAACTGAGAGGACACCCTACCACTAACTTCAGCAACAACGACAATGTCTATGTTTTTGAAAGACAAAGTATGAACGTTGGTAGTTTTTATTATTTTCATTGTTAGTAAGGTGCCGCTAATTCAAAAATCAAGTGGAAAAGCTTTTGAATTTTCAAACACATATTCTGATTCGTCGGACGCTGCTGATCACGAATCTGACCTTATATTTTCGATTTGATCGAGTTTTCATACAGAAAACCTCAAAATACTGTGAAGGCGTCAAAAACCTCGAAAAACCGATTTTTTAGAAAAATCCTGATTATCTCCTGATCTTTTCATTTTTCGATCTCACCAATACGATTTTCGGATTCAGCATCGTGAAGCACATCTAGGCACTTGTCATTCGACGACTTTTCTTCGAGACTTAAACTCTTGTAGCTGATCAAACACTGATCGCTCGAACCTTGAGGTTCTCACAGCGCAATGCTATCTAGTTTTTTGCCATGAGAGCTAGAGAGTTCTTTCATACGCCAGAAGATTCGTCTAGCCTTGCTCCACAAAAATATGCTTCGTTATTTTCAAAACGTTTTTCCTTTCAGGAGAAATTAGGAAAAGACTGAGAAAGTGCGAGTTTTTCGAAAAAGCCTTCGGATGATGAGCCCATAACTCAGTGATATTTCCACTTAGAGCACTACTATTGTGGTTTTCTAGGTAAAAAGCAATGTTGAATACGTTAGAAATGCGTTTGAGAGGTTTGGAGTTTTCCAAGTAGGTTTTGCAAAAAACAGAACTCTGAGAAACCTTCAAGAGCCTTTTGGAAATCTTTTTCGCCCCAAGCACAAAGTATCGACAGAGCCTACAAATAAGGTCAGATTCGTGATCAGCAGCGTCCGATGAATCAGAATATGTGTTTGAAAATTCAAAAGCTTTTCCACTTGATTTTTGAATTAGCGGCACCTTATCTCTGAGAAATTTTACTCAGAAACAGGCACGTAAAGGAACGACATCAGATAAACCGTCGTATTCGTACTGAACCGTAAAATGCACTAACATGCTAAAGGAGACAGAACGCTAGTAGATTAGAAAAAGACGCTCAAGTATATCATACAGTTTCCAGTTCAAAAAGAAGTGTAGTTCCCGTTCGCGGGGACTAGAACTGGTGAACCGTTCCTCGTTTCTAGAAACGTGAATTGCTGAACCGTTCCTAGTTCAGAACGGAAACTGAAAAACCGTTCTCGTACATTGAACGGGGAGCTGAAAAATAGTTCCCGTTCAAAGAACGGACACAGGCCGTGAACTGTCACAGGCCTACACCGGACGAAAATGGTCCTATATATTTTTGAGAAGATAACGACTGGAACTGATCAGAAACCGTTCGTTACTTAGTTTTTAATTTTTCTGCGCCTTAAAAGTTGATTGTAGACTACTATATGCTGAAATTTGTGATCATTTCTGAGCATCGATCCAAAAAGCCTATTCGATCGTATTTATTAATTTTTCTCGGCAAGTTCGACGTTCTTAATAGAAGCTTATACACGAAAGTTCAATGCCTAGGAAAGAACAGTAAGACTTCTTGACAATTTTCCACAACCTTTCTAGTTTAGTATAGAGAACAGGTCAAGTTGTGGTTGATTTTATGCAACTGTCGAAACACATCTTACGTCGTTAGTACTAATGTTGGTTCCGGTACGGTCTCGGAAAAAAAGTTGCAGTCCCGTTCCGGTCCTGTTAAAAAAAATTTTCATCTCACCCATGACTACCCTAAGGTCGTATCTTTCTTGTTTTCCCGTGAGTTGTGCGGATATGGGGGATACTATTTTCCTGACTGTTTTTCCATAAAAGTCATAAAAGTCCGTTGAAGAAATACCAACATTTACTACTAAGCTACACATCGTAAACAACCCCATCCTTGCACAGTCATACCGCAGTTTATTTTTGATCACACCGTTGAATTCAAAACCAAAAATAATCTATACAAACTAATTTTTATTAAAAGCCGCCAGAAAAATTGTAGCTGACAAATGGAGAAAAGCGAAAATTTTGGTAAAAATCTTCTTCCTTTTCGGATCTTTTCACCATTTTGTAGAACAAGCAATTCTCCTAGTATGTATCACAAAAGTATGACACTTAATTAGCGGGTTACGCACGAAATAATTGATGGTAAAGCGGCACCTGTAACTTCATTACGAAGCGACTCCTAGAACTCGCAGTTGCATTGTTTTGTAGCTTCGCATTACTATCCATTTCAAAATAGAAGGCGAATGATTGCGAGACGAATAACTCGAGAACGAAAGGTGATAACGACCTGAGGTTTTCAGTTTTAGAAACTAGACACCGTCGATCTAAGAAAAATTCAGGGCTTCCGATAAGGTTTACCATGGTATACCATTCGAGACAAAATTCGAACGCTTACCGTTCCCAAATCACACTATAAAATCCAGTCTCAAATAACATCAGTCGATAATCAGAACATCACTCCTCAAAAGCCCGCAAGGTCCAGACCTCCATCTCCTTCGGTTTCGGAGATACAGACGTTTTCGGAGGACACATCTGTCTGGTTCCAGACACGTCTGGAAATCTCAAAAATACATGAATCATACGTAATCGACCACGCCGATCATCGTGGCGATGTTTATTTCATTCCCCACTCAACCACAACCTCAGCAAAGCCATATTGGTGAAAATCCGGTTTTTCGCCTATTACCGCCAAAGATCAAAAACCGTATATTTCGCTCATTTCTGGTTCAAATAAACTCAACTTTTCGAGAAATGATTAGCACAGATCAAAGAATGTGGAACTGGTCGAAAAAATCGGACCTGAACTTTGGTTGTGTGGGGGGTTTTCTAGAGGTCCGCTAAAAAACCGTATGCATAAACTGAAAACGATATTTAACTTTTTAACTCGAAAAGGTTAAATAAGGTTTTCGTATGTGATTTTAACTGAAATTTTCGCTTTTCTCCATTTGTCAGCTACAATTTTTCTGGCGGCTTTTTAATAAAAATTAGTTTGTATAGATTATTTTTGGTTTTGCATTCAACAGTGTGATCAAAAATAAGCTGCGGTATGACTGTATAAGGATGGGGTTGTTTGCGATGTTTAGCTTAGTAGTAGGAAGCTCTGACTTTTTATAAATCTACGTGCCCCGGTGTCTAGTTTCTAAAACTGAAAACCGCAGATCGCCATCACCTTTCGTTCTCGGGTTATTTGTCTCGCAATCACTCGCCTTCTATTTTGAAATGGATAGTAGTTGCATTTGTCTTTTGTCTTGAACCATTAAAAATTGACGACCTCAGCAACAGTAAGTAGTTGATCCTAATTCACCATCAAAAAAATGTCAACCTCTTTTAACAACTGAATATCTCAGTAATGATTTGACTTGTAGAGCTGTGGTTAGCAACAAAAGACTAGAAATAAGGTGTGCTTTTTAGCCATGTAATTGAAATTGAGTTTAGAGCAAATCGATTGAGCAGCTTCTGTAGCAACTAACCGTCGCTTATGTGCAAAGACTCTAAAAATCTGTTTTTTGCACGATAATCTTAACCACATAGAAAATAGATTACTTAGGAACGATTTTGTCAAAGACGAGAAGATCAATGAAGGAAAAAAATATACTTTTAAACGTTTTTATCGCGTTCAAAGATGAATCGTGCTGAGAAAAATTCGAAAATTTCGAACTCGACTCCCTGCCTAGTAAATGTAGTACTCAGGTGTGAGTACTCAGATGCATACTCATGCTAAAGGAAGGAAAGAGTACACTTGAGTATTCATACACTTTTTTACTCATGAATGAATAAGGAGTACGGTGGGTACGACTATGAGTAATCATGCTTGAATATTGTTGAGTATTCGTATAATTTTTGGCAAAATATTCATGAGTATGGTTTTCATCTGCTATTTTCATATAGAGGAGTGATATTAGACAGCCAAAATTGGAATACAGAGAAACCAGCGAGAAAAAAGTAATGTAAATATTCTATATTTCTTTACTAAATTCTACGTTCTTTAAACAGTTTCATTTTTGCAAACATAAAACGGTGAATGAATATTTTCTGAGTACTACTGAGTAACAATACTCAAAAATTGTTAGTAGAACTCATATGGATACTTGTGGACGAATTATGAGTAAAGTTGTACTCATAGTATGAGTACTTTCACAGAGCTAAGTTTTAGCTACACTTTAGTAATATACACTATGTGTTCTAACACCGTTGACTTCATGGTTTCTTAGAGATTCAGCAAAGTTCGAAACATATGATAATGGATAATGGAAATTCTGATCACTTTTTCAACGCATTTCGATTTCGGATGAGCACCAATCAGTTATTTTAGCTAACTTTCGCTAGCTTTGACTAAACAACAAATTAGCCAGTGATAGATCGGAAGAGAAGAACTTCGGATATCTTCATAAAGAATTTGCCTGAATCTTTGTACTATTTCAACATCTCAGACTCAAATATTTTATGTTTATATAACTTTTTAAAGCAAGCGCAAAACGCCTGTATCCAGAGTTGAAACCGGACCGATCGGTTGAACTTTTGAACGCCGGTCTGCGTCCGTTCAGTTCTAAAACATTTTTCAATGTTATTATGCCAAAAATAAATTTCTGAATTTTTAAGCACAGTTAATTATTATATTGCATGAATCGTTACTCGTTTATTTTTAATGTTAATACTGAATAATTAGTTGATTATTTCGCATAAACCGGTCGGTTTTTACCCGTTTATCCAAACTAGGGCTCAAACTGGGTTAAAACTAGTCCGGCCCGACCCAGTCCATGGTCTACCATGGACCGGGTTTTTTGCACAATCAGAACCATGGATTCTCTCTAAAAATCTTAAGCTTTGAGAAGTTTAAGTTTATATCCGAAAATCTATGAGTTTCTCTTGATTTTTTACCTGTTCTCACAATTCTTGTCAACATTGTAACAATGTTAGCTGTAGAGAGCTAATTATCCATGTTCTCGAAATCGCTTCGGTTTGGATGATTAATCGCGATTTTGCAAAATATTAACGATTAATCGCGATTTCGACAAAAAATTGCCGATTAATGGCGATTAATTGGTAATTTTTCCAGAAACCACGATTTATCACCATTATCAAAAATATCATCAGTTAATCGCAATTAATCGGCGATTCTGTTATATTGACGCTAAATTACGGCTAAATCAGTTATTTACTTAACTTAATATTTTTCAACTCAGAGAAAGTGAAAATAGCTATTATGAGGGATTTGTGGAGCTCGAACCGATTTAATAATAGGTGTCGTATGCTATAGCATAGAAGTTTCAGCCTCATATTTTACTGGCTGATAAGTCAGCAAAAAAATCGGCAAACTGGTCGATTTTATCGCGATAAAGCGCACAATTAATCGGTCCGTAAATCGCGATAAAATCGGCGATTTTTCGGCGATTTTCATCACATGGGTATCTCTTAAAAACAGCAATGAGGTAGTGTGTGCTCTAGAATATAATATATTCGTTCAGCAGTATTATCCGTCTTGGTGCATTGTACAATTACGATCATTTTAAGATTTAAACATCTCAGGCTCTGACAAGATCTTCTTATATATCGAAACGGAAGAAAATTGTGCGAATCTAACGGTAAAAAAATTTCTCACATTAGTTAAAAAATGATTGAGTTATGAGTGAAAGATTGAGGGGAGATTCTACACGTTTTATCGTTGTCTCATTCTATTCCAATAAGCCTGTATATTCTTGTATACTCAAAATGTAGATCTATCTGTATTCTTCTACAAAGCGTTATACTGTATCATAGTGGAATAAATAACAAAATAAAAGAAACTAATTCTAGAACATACATCAGCACACATGAAGCATGCGACATGATGTCGCTAAATTGATAAAACGACTCACTACAATGTGAGGTACAAACAAATTTTTAATGGCTAAACTTTGGTTGTACACCGATTTGGTTGTAGAATATCTTGACTCTTTGCTTAGATTATCTAATAAAAACTGTTATTTTTCACATTTGTCAAGAAACAATTTAACCTTTAGGGTCGCTTATTGAAAAATCTTCGTCTAATCACCTGAGCAGATGTTTAGTCAATGTTGATCTTGCTATATGGAACTTGCCAGATTGAATATTAGAGAAAACAATGCTTTTCTTCACCTGCTGCTATTGCCGAAATAAAAAAATTTTCATTTTTTAAGGTTTCACTATAAACTAGTTCACTATAAATATTGTTTTTATAGACAAATCAACAGTGAGAAAATTTCTCTCTGTTGTATTCATTTTGAGTGTACATGCATTACATGGGAAAAGGAAAGAACAGATAAATATTACTTCTTTTTCGTTTGTTTTCTTTCCTGACTCATGACAGTAGAACTTGTGAAATGTTAGTAGATGCTTCTATTCTTATATGAAGTCGGAAAAATGTTATTGGAAACAATTAAATAGTGAGCCATGCGTTATTTAATCCTTAAATGAATGAATTATTTATTTGTACACTTATAAAAACAGCGGGTCTTCAAATTTTTTTCTTAATGACATAACATGAGATTTTTTTCTTCTGTTTTTGAGGTGTGGGTGAGGTTTCTTGTTGCGCATCCAGAATTACGTTGTAAGTATGTAATGACTGATAGTTAGCAGTTCAAGGTAGAAGACCTTGAAAAAAGTCGATTTGTTGAATATATCATCATTTCTGTTTTTATTATATTTGTTAGAACAGCAATGGAATAGCTCAGCTCTCTGGTAACTATATTTAAAAATACAGACGTATTCAGATGTAATGGGCTAAGTTTAATTTGATTAAAACGCCTTCTCTCTTGAAATTTTTTAAACTAGTTAGCAAAAAGTTATTGCCCATTCTCGCTTCATTGATCCTTGCTATGAATAACGGATCTCGGAAACACTCGGTGCGAATAAGTAGACACTCCTGAATTCTTTCATTAAGCGAAAATAATACTATTTCGCCAAAGAAAATTATACATTATTACAATCAGAGATGTTGAAAAGTTTGCTCGCTAAAATATAAAGTTTTGTTTAATGATCGATTCAAGATTGCATTTTAGAGATAACGTTTTTGGAAAAAAGCGTAAAATTTTCACCAGGTAATCGAATGACGTCATTATTGTTTTGCTCGCTGCTTTTTTGACTGGGATTGAAGAATGAAGCGGTTAGATACGAGGCAAACAGCAGCAAGTGAAACAAGTGAATCGCATTGAAACAGAGTGAAATACGGTTTGTCTGTGCGTGAAAACAAGCTCTCTGTAGATTTGAGACAGTATATCTGATCGTCTATAAATGTGAAAATGGGAGAGAGCTTTTCTACCATATCTTGTTAGATTGTTTCAAAATTTAACTTTTCATAAAAATTGACTTATTTTTTAGCTGTCTATAGTTCAACTACAGGTAACGAATTGGCTGCATAATAGTTTCTCATCTCGTATTTGAACTGTCTCGTCGTTTTAAAATCAAATCGTCATCAATATGGATCTACGAATTTATATGGGTTTTGTGCCAAAAAACAAGATCATATGCTTTTATTGACTTTCACTGCCATGCTGGCTTTATTGCTTGTTTGATGAGAAGGAAAGAATGTTATTAATACTATGTCACATTTTTTTTATATTTAGATTTATTTAAAATGGCATACTTTGAAAATTCAAAACATGTAGAATCATAAAGCCTTTTTATCTTAATTTTCTTTTTTCTTCTGTTTTTTAATGTCTCTTGGCGAACTAAGATTATTCAAGAAATCAACGGACGATCTACGATTAACATATTCAGTGACAAATCAGTCGATCGTCACTAAAAATGCAACATCACAATCAAGTATTAAATGTGCCTTTCAATTTTTACAATTATTATTATTACAAAAACTTTATTCTAATGAATATTCGTTTCGTTCTTTAACAAGTCAACATAATCATCATCATCGACGTACGCATGATTATTGTCAAAGGCATCGAGGAAAACATAATTGTTCGTATCAAGTTTTTCTTGGTGGTTCATGTAATCCGACCACATGGCGTCATGAACAAGCGATACCATATTTTCAATCACGCTCAGTTTCCTATTTCAATCCACAAGTAAATAATTGGACAGAAGATTTGGTTGAAATAGAACATAAAGCTAAAGAATTAGCGCCCCTATTATTTTTTGTTATCGATCAAGATACACGTGCTCTTGCGTCAATTATTGAGGTTAGTTATCTGGCAGCTAAACGAAGAAATTTAATTGTTGTTATAAATGATATGAATTATCAACAGGCAAAATTTTTAAAATATTCCGAACAAAATGAACAGCAAATCAATGATGATTTTAATAATGCTTATCAAGCACGAAAAACATTAAAAACTTTATTGAAAAGTATTAATATACCAATTTTTGATAATATAAGTGTTGCATTAGAATGTGCAGCATTCATATTAGATACAACAAATAAAACATTGAATGAAACTGAATTAATCAATGAAAATAATAATAATGAAGAAAAAACAAGTCGAGGTAACTGATTAGAACACGCCCGAGAAGAGAATGAAGATCAGGAACACTCCATATTACTTTTCTACTGTTCTTTTGGAAATATAGCCCGAAAAATCAACTATTGAATCCAAACTTTTTTTTCAATTTTAGACTGTATATCTCCTGATGTACCATCTCGATCACGTTCATGTTCCATATCAGAAAGCAGTAATCATATTACAATAAATTCTCGACATCGTTTACGCTCACCGTCTGTTGTTGTTATACGTTCGTTATCAAATAAGACTACGTATCATTCAAATGATGAATTTTACGAAGGAGTGAAGAAACAACTTGAATGTGAAAAATATAAAGATGAACCACAACTCAAGAATCGTCGCAGTAGTTTGAATGACCATTCACCATCATCAGCTCACCTCCAACCAGAAAAACTATCACCAATTAAATCGTGTCCTCTTCCTCAATCTCCATCATCGTCTAAACAAGGTTCAACGGCATCAAATATTTTACTTCCACAATCATTATGTCCACCCCATTCACAATATCAATATGAAAATCCTTTTCTCCGTTCATTTGTATTTAATTCTGGTTCAACAAGTATTGTGCATAATTCAGCATTTTGTGCAACCCAATTATCAACATGTGACTCAGCACTTGGTAGTGATGATTCCTTATCATCCAGAACACTTTCATCTTCATCGTCCTCTTTTACGTCATCCTCTGTAGCATCAGAGTATTGTGAATATTATGATGAACATCGACATGAGGAGCAAATAAAACAGCAAACAAGGTAGAATGAATAACTCTATAAATTCCAAGATGATTACTATGAAATTTCTCTTTCTATTTAGTATCAATGATTCTTCACAATCATCAACATTTTTTTCAACGATACTTTCTAAATTTTCTATGTATACCCCGTTTATCAGTAACAATGAAACAGTATCTCGATCTTTATTTGTCTTACTTACGTTACCATTTCGTTTTCTACGGGATATTGTATTCCAACCCACCATACCAGCCATTGTTCATGACAACAATGACCAATATAAATACCATCAAGAAGAAGTGTCAAAAATTGATAGTCTGCCGTCTTCATCATCCTATTTATATGATATTTATTATGCCAGTGGTAACGATAATAATTGGTTTAATAATCATGTATTACCCTTATTAGAAGAGAATAAAATAACATATTTAAAAAAAACACGTACACAATTGTTATGCGATATCCATGATATTCATGCACGTAACAAATGTCGTCTCATTTATTACGTCATAACAAATATGGAACGTTTATCAGATTTATCTACAGAGCTAGCTTTTATTATTGGTGACCATACATCACATATTGTTATTTGTTTACAGTATATCGATGACTTTAATCAAAATAATCTTAATTTATCTTTAAGTGAAATACGGGACATAAATCGATCGAGGAAGTATCTAGAGGATTTGGCTAGAAAGGAAAATATTGCTATATTTCAATCATTAGAGCAAAGTTTTCGTTATGTAATGATATATCTGAACCAAAAGAAACATGTTTCATATAACTAACGTTTTTATTTGTAATATTTTTGATAATCAAAACAGTAACAATGACAAGTAGAGTAAAGCGCAATTAATCGAATTCTTTTTAAATTGTATAAATATATTTAAATATTGATTTACAGAACAAAAATTTTTTACTTTTCCTCTCTTTTATAGCAGAAGAAATAGATGAAAAAAAGAGATGATACTATGTATTCAATACAAAATATTTTTTTATGACTGTGTAATACTTTTGGATTCTGTTTTTTTGTTTCTGTTTTCGTTTTTTTTCTTATTGTTGATTTTACTCTTTTGTGCGTAATTTTTTTCGAAATGTGTATTGTTGTTTTATTCATCGAGGAAAAACGCCTGATAAAATCATCACACACATTTGACTGGAGGGAAGTTGTAGTTATGAAGCAGTCTAAAAATCATTTACTTTTACTTTAGCTAGCAGTATGTAGTTGAGTCTATACCATCAGATCATCGATTTACTTTCAAGGTTTTGAGAGATCATCAGAAAAGCTAGAAGAAAATCAGGATAAATAATGGGCAAAAAATATGCTTTGTTTATTTACTTCTTTTTGTGTAAAAGAGGACTAATCTTTTCTCACACTTCTGTTGAATAGAATTATACTTACTTTAGAAGAAAACGTGATCTTTAAATCGATTAGTTGAGCAAAAGAATGAGAAGTCATAACCGGAATAATAGGCTTGTGTACGAGCAAAGTTATGACAGATTATCAATCTGTTTGTTCAATCGGATGAGATAATGTACAAATATTAGTAAGTGAAATCATTTCCTCGTTATTAAATTTCGCTTCTAATCAATTCTCGTTTTTTTAGTTGTCATCTATGTTGTTCTAAAATAATGGATAATTTAATAATGTCAGAAGTATCTTCGACGACAGTGTGTGATGATGAAACATATGATAATACCTATTTTTCATTATCAAATCATTCAAATAAAACTCTCAATAAAATATCTGAATATTTTCAACAAAAATTTTTATGTGATATCCTATTGATTTGTGGTAATAAACGGATAGAAGCACATCGTATTGTTATCAGTTCTATGTCAGACTATTTTTATGCAATGTTTTCATCCAATATGTTAGAAACAAAACAAAAAGAAGTTATTATTAATGATATTGATCCGGATGCGTTAGAAAAATTGATTAATTACGCCTATGACGGTATATATTATTCTTTTTATCTTTTTTTTTCTAATTTCAAACTTTTCTCTTTGTAATATTTAGGTAAAATAGATTTTAAATTTGATTCTGTTACCAGTATTTTGAGTGCCGCAAGTATGCTCAATATTTCGGAAATCGTTGAAGCGTGTTGCAATTATATTATTAAACAACTGCATGCATCGAATTGCCTAGGCATATTTAGATTTGCTGAACATCATAGTTTAAAAAATTTATGCAAAGTTTCTTATAATTTTATTACGGTAGAGTATCTATATGATTGATCTACTCAATCTTTAACATTAGTCTTTTTTCTTCTAATAGGAACACTTTAGTGCTGTGATAAAAAATCATGAATTTCTTGAATTAACGGCGGATGAACTGAAAAAATTATTAGAATCGGGTATTGTTAATAGTAAAGATGTTCAAGACAAAAATTATTAATTATTTTCTGATTTTAGACGATTTAAATGTACACTCAGAAGAAATTATATTTGAAGCATTTCTTTCATGGTTACAGTATGATAAAGAAAAACGACAAAATGAAAATTTAGCACAATTATTAGGTTCTATTAAATTACCATTGATCAAACCGCTAGTATGAATCACTAATTTTTCTTCAATTGTGAACTATTTTATCTTTCAAACTTTCTGTTCAGTATTTGACCGATCATATTGATTCAAATCCATTATTTAAAGAAAATACGCAATGCCAGGCGTTAATTATTGAAGCTATGCGCTACCATTTAATACCTGAACGACGTTCTATAATGCAAACAATACGAACTAAACCTCGAAGATCAACAATTGGCTCACTCTATTGTCTAGGAGGAATGGATACTACTAAAGGTAAACAAGTTTTTAAATTCACCAACATGATAATATTTTTTCTTCTTCTGATAGGTCCACAAACGATCGAAAAATATTGTTTCCGTACCAGATTTTGGCATCCGGATGGACATTTGAATAGTCGACGTTTACAATTTGCTAGTGTTTTGTTAGATAAAAAGTTATTTGTTGTTGGAGGACGAGATGGTCTGAAAACGTTCGTATAATTATCAATTTTGAATTTTGTTCTTATTTAATATTTCTCTCTTTTTATCTTAGTTTAAACAGTGTGGAGTATTATGATTTACAAAAGAAACAGTGGCATGTGTCTCCTCCAATGCTAACAAATAGACATGGACTAGGCGTAGAACAATTAGGAGGCCCTTTCTATGCTGTTGGCGGTCATGATGGATGGTCGTTCCTAAACACAGTTGAACGGTAAAAGCTGACATCAATGAGTTGAACGATAATGGCTTTTATTTTCTTATAGATTCGATCCCCAAACACGAATTTGGACTTATGTATCGAGTATGTCTAATGCTAGATGTACATTAGGCGTCGGCGTGTTTGAAAATCGTCTCTATGCTGTGGGAGGTCGTGATGGAAGTTCATCGGGCTTGAGAAGTGTTGAATGCTACGATCCTCATACCAATAAATGGCTTCAGTGTGCTTCGATGCAAAAGCGGCGTAGTGGAGTTGGTGTAGCTGTTTGTAATGATTTTATTTTTGCAATTGGAGGTCACTCAGATTCCTCGGCAAATAATAAAAATGCTACAAGGTAATCAATCGATTCTCGTAAGATTTTGAATTTAAATGTTTTGTATATTTTCAACTTAGACACGATGATGGTGAACGATATGATCCACGATGTGATCAATGGACAATTATTGCGAGTTTTTCTCGTCCAAAGGAAGCAATTGCGGTGGCTACATTAGGTAACAAAATTTTTGCCGTCGGTGGTTTCAATGGTGAAAAAGTTGTGGACGAAGTAGAAAAGTACGATACAGACAAAAATACTTGGACAAAAGTAAGTGGACAATTTATATTTTTAATCATATCCATTTCTGAAAAATATTTATTGAATAAGGACTAAACTAAAATGTCTTTTTTTAAAATGTATTGTTGAGTAAATTTAAGCGTTTACAGATCTTCATTTGATAACTATCTAATATAAAGTGATTTTTTTCTTTAGTGTGTCTCATTGCATACAAGACGTGCTGGTGCCTGTCTGTTACACATACCTAATTCCGTTTATCAACCAGTACTTTCGTCCAGCTCCTATTCATTGAATTCATTATGTCAGAAAATTAAAGATCCTGATATATCATCAAGTTGCCATCAACTTAGTCGCTTAACATTATCTTAATTTTTTTAATTAAACTATTCGTAAATCACTCAGTCACTCTGTGAAGATAGTTCACATAGAATTTGGCTAAAACAAACAGAGACAACAACGACTCATCAACTGAGTTTTGCACCGGAAATGATCATTATAGTCATAAGTATTTTTCATCTTATTTCGAGATTTAAAGCTGCTGTTAACTCTATCATATTCATTCTCAAATGTTTACCCATATCAAAACAAAATTATTCATCTTATTTCTCTCTCACTCTCTTATTCCGTTGACGTAAATGTAATGTTTTCTTTCTACTCTTATTAAATCAATTTTTCACACATCTCATTTTCTACTAATTCACATAAAATGATTTTAAATTTCTGATAATTTTTCTGTTTTGATTCATATTTTATATTTATGGAGTTTGTTTTTGCTCATAGTGCAATTGACGCAATTATTTCTTTATATTTTCTGTGATTTCTTCAGGTTTTATTCTCATTAAAATGATGAAAATAGATATAACTTTTATTTTGCGAGAATATATTACCATAAGTATGCTTTACGCAAGAATGATTTTTATACAATCGGTATTTTTTGAAAAAAAATGTACTTCTTACATTTCATATCATAAAAATACTTTATTTGTTTCGGACAGTTTAGAAATCTTTGTTGCAGAACAGAGAACATCAGAGGACAACTTTTTACACCCTGCCCTGTCAGAAAATTACTCATAAAATGTTTTTGGCCGTGCCCTGTCTTGTCTGACTGAGCAGGACGCCCTGCAGTGCAAAAGAAACTTTTTCACCTTAACCTAGAAGATTTTATCTTCAAGGAACTCATCACGAATACTGGATGTATTTCTCGTGCGTAACAGAATCTTTTGTTTTTTTATTAATTATCAATTTTAGAAAAGTTGGCTGTCATTTTTGTTTTCACATATACGAGAGATAAAGAGCACACACAAAAGAAAACAGAATTGAGCGACCGCTGTTATCTTCGTTGTTCGATCTCAAAATTTTACTTAAAAGAAGCTTGAAAATCTCAAAAATCAATCGCTTGCAGGGCAAATCAAGGAATGTTTTGTTGAGGCAAAAAAAATATATCGTTCTGCCCAGCAACAGCAGCAGCATATGTTTTATGTATTTTCGAATGCTCTGAGTTTTCTTAGAAATGATTTTGGAAATTTTTTAACAAATGCATTTTGTAGAGCAAACATTTTTCTACAAAATGAGATGTTTCGCGGTTCTGAGCAAATCGTGATAACTGATAGATAGGAATTCGTCTGGATGCTCCAACACCAGTTAAAAACTGGTGTATACCTAGTCCTTCGATGGTCTCTGTTGCACACACGAGTATCTGTAAAATTCAAAAAAAGGTAGCAAAACGCTATACAAAAAGAATATTTGAAAAAATCTTCTGAGATCTGTCAAAAATAGATTTTAGCTCACGAGTAATAAGACGAAGGTATCGCCTAATTTAATATTTTCATTCAAAAACATTTAACTAAAGTTTAATAGATTATTCTTTGATCTTTGCTAGATTGATGCTGTATTTTTCTACTTGTAATTGTTTAAAATAAGTGGAAAATGGCTGATTCAGTTGCTCAATCGGATGGTGGAAATGATCAAGAAAAATCCAAACGGATTTTTAAAATTATTGTTATTGGTAATTCAAATGTTGGTAAGCGTGATGACACGTTTCTGTTTATTCTATAGTTCACAGTACATCGTATGATTTTCAATTTATTATTAGGAAAAACTTGTTTAACGTTTCGATTTTGTTCTGGTAAATTTCCCGAAAAATCAGAAGCAACTATTGGCGTTGATTTTCGAGAAAAAGCAGTGGAAATTGACGATGAAATATTAAAACTACAAATATGGGATACAGCCGGTCAAGAACGATTTCGTCGAGTAAAAATATTTCACTAATATGAATAAAATTCATGCACTATTATATTTGAATATTTTAGTCAATGATCAATCATTATTATCGCAATGTCCATGCTATAATCTATGTTTATGATGTTACAAATTTAGCAACATTTGAAAGTTTACCATTGTGGATTAATGAGTGTGATAAACATGTGATTGATCCTGAAATACCTCGAGTTTTGGTTGGAAATAAATGTGATGTTGAGTAAGTGTTTACTATTATGATCATAATTTGTACGATACTAGAATAAATTAATTCTAGTGATGAACAAATGGTTGTACAAACATCTGTAGCTCAACGATTTGCGTATGTAAAACAAAATAATAGCATAAAAATAATCTCATTATGTTTTTATTACATTTAATTTAAGGGATACGAACAATATGCCATTATTTGAAACAAGTGCAAAAGCAGATGAACATCAAGATCATGTGAACTCAATATTTTTATTATTAGCTCATAAATTAAAATATGCTAAACCATTAATGACACAACCAAAATTATATTCACAATCATTAATTTCCATTGATCGAACGAATACTAATAGACAAACAAATACAACAAATTCAAATTTATCTGAGAACGATGGTGGTTATTGCATGTGTTAATATACTTTATTATAAACGTCATACATACAGGAAGTAGTCGAATTGTAATGTTTAGGCCTACATTAATTCTGAGTGAAAGCTCGAAAATCATTTCGAGTATTCATTTAGAACTGGTGTCTGCATAGTAATGTTGAAAATGAACGATATCAAACTTATTCGCATAAAATACAGATTCGTTTTTAGAGAGCATTATCTAAGTCTCATATTAATAGATATATATTATCTCAACGTATTCGTTTTTATTAACAAAATATCGTTTCTGTTTTTTGATATATTGAAAACCACCAATGATTTTTGGAATATTTTTCATCCTTTTAACGTCTATGACATATTACCATTTCTCTATTTGTCTGTCATCTTTGATCCTCAAAGATTTCACGTACTACGTCCTTTTTTTTCCGTAGTTGGCTAGAACGGTTTGCTTATATGTAAAGAAAGGTGTTGTGATTTTGTATATAAAAGGTAATTTAAAAACAAATTTGCTTAATCCATCACTATTCTTTTTGTTAAACATGTTTTCTTCTGTATTCTTTTTATTTCTCAAATACTCTATTGTAAGTTGTTGTTATGTTTTGGAATTGTGATTTTTTTTATGGGCTTAACATTTTGAGTGCTGATGAAAAAAAATTTTATCTTGTGAAATATTTATATAATATGCATACGTTATTTTTTAAAATAAAAACAATTATTCTTCAGTTATTTTGAAAAGTATAGCTTCAAAAACAGTATTAACATAGATCAGTCAAGACTAAAAAACATGTGTACGCAGGAAGATGCAGTACGTCAGCCGCTGAAAGTAACAAAATTCATACAGTCTGTATGTTGAAAACTATTTGTATTTTTTATTTATGTTTCTATTAAACTAACCAATAAATCTTACTTATATTTCGTTCATTTGTAAATATATTGATTGAATAAAACACAACTAATCGATTTGACTGTGACATTTTTCAAGATATCAATAGTCTATTTCTTCGTCACATTACGAATTAAAAGTATATTAATTCAGCTTTTAACAAAATGAATGATGTTAATGTTCCTGCACAAAAGTTGAAACTTATATCTCCGTGCTAGAGAGTTCATATTTTTATCGTTAAAAACAGCAAAGTCTCAGCTCTAAATCGAACTTTTTTAGAATAGCAGTTTAGATAAACCTTAACGAAAAACAAAAATCGTTCAGAAGTCTTGTAATACAAAAAACCTGGATTTTATGAGCACCGGCTGGAAATAAAATCTGTTTGAAAAATCAAAAAGAGCAAATATAGCGCTTGAAAAATTATATTGCAATACGTTGCTCTCGCTAATCAAGACCACTTATTCAAGTGTCGAGAAGAGCTGACGATTGTTGAACCAAAATGTGAGAGAAACCGCTTGATAGAGCAATGAGATTTTTTGTCTTTCTTGTTAACGTTGAATGAATTCCAATAAGGATTGAATTTGTTAGGTGTAGTATCACTCAGATCATTCTGCGTTTTTCAATTTAAAAAATAATCATGGAAAGTATTCTGAAAACGGTTTAGTATATTTTCCTAGAGGTAAAGAGTAGATAAGGCCTTGTACATACATTCGTACTTATCTTGCGAGGATCGGACGAGAGTTTCTGATGTACATTGGCGAATGTTGGTAGTAACTGTACTTATGCTTCGAGGGACGGGTATTGTTACCGCACGTAATGAACTACTTTATAAATACACACCTCATGAGCTCCATTTCGTCAAAGATCTATTTTTCGTACAGGTGCCGAATAGGTATATCATGGTGTACACGTTTATCTTGTCATTTTCTAGCATTAATATTTAAAGTATTCTTAATCATTATCATGTATATCATCATATATATTTTTTACAAATTATTTTTTTTGGCACGATAAAATACTTCATCTGAAAATATAAGGTTAGCTCAAGGTACTCAAATGTGGTGATAATAGGAAAACAATCACAAACAACATTACAATCATACATTGAAGATAAATATGATTTGACCACCCTTCTCTTTCGCTCTTCTTTTTGATAGCTTGTAAACTATAGATACTGGAGTTATTATATTAGTCAAAAGCGTTACTACAGCCATCACAGAAAAGCAATCAAACAAGCCAGAAATAGGGGTTCGGCCACTTTCCGTCGTTGGAAATGTAATTACATTTATTCTGATATTGACAAATACTATAAAAAATAATTTCTCAAAAATGAGAAGGATTTTAGAAAAACCTCAGTTTCCTAGTCAAGAAAACAGTAAACTTTTGGAAGCTTTGTGTAAAATAGAATGATTAGTTGTCATTATGCTGAAACTGCAGAACCGAGACTCATCGATATGAGTCAGAATGTCTTTCTCGCACGAAGAGGCTGGGACAAGTGAAATAACCCAACATTTTAGAATAGGAAATGGAAAAACTGGAAGCAACCAAATTTTTCAAGTTTTTTTAACCGAATACAACTTACTTTCTTTCTGATTTGACTTGTTCAGCATGTGTGAAAACCTATAAATCCAAATGTTGAGCTTTCTAGGACTTTTACTTTCTGTGTTCTGGACGGTTTTCTTTTTGATGAAAAATTCAGCGTCCAAAAAATGGAGAGCAAACATAAAGATACTGTTTCTCTACCAAGACAAGTGATGGAAGAGGGTTTTTTTCACCCTATGTAGTCCATTGCACGGTCTATCCGATAATGCAATCAGATCGTCTTTACCTCGAACCTTCAGCTGATACCGAAGGTTTTCTGAGGATCTTAGGGGTTTATATTGTTTGACGCCTTTCTTGCGCGTCTGGCTTAAGTATAAAACGAGGTGCACTTTCTCATAGACATTCAAGTGTGGACGATCTGAATTTGGTCTCAAAAGTTTGGACAACAGAAAATACTTTGGTTTCTAGAAAGTTTCCCAGAAACTTTCAGAACTACACGAATATTTTTTATTGATTATACATACAGAATCAAGCTGAGCGGATAAAATAAAGTATTTCTTGACATTCTGAAGTATGTTGGATGGATTTTGACTGAGTTATGCGTTTTTTAATTTTTGGTGAAAATAATCAAAAATGGTTTATTTCCCCTAGTATAGGTTTTCACTCGGTTGTTGCATTTTGTTCTGAAAACTAACATTGCCACGAGATTCAACATAGTCGATAATCTCTGTTTTCATGCATTCCTGATAGTCCCAAACCTATTGATAAAGGAGTCCCAGCCCTTCGAGAAAAATGTTCGTAGCACCTCATCCATGGCTTTTGAAGATGTCGCTCAAATCCGGTTTTGTATAGAACACTTCCGACTATATATCTACTTAAAAAAACCCATAGATTTCTAAGCCAGCTTTCAGAGGACTGAACTGGTTTTCCACAGATCTCCTGAAAAACCGGTCTTTACAATTTTTTCAAAGTCGTTTTGCTTATGAAAACATAGCTTCGCCTTGGCTAGAGAATGAGAAAACCGCAGTCTCTATCTGTTATTCATTTAATTCCTCATAGAAAGGAAGCGGTGCGTAGGAATTTTCTGATGAAACAATATGTTGAAAAATGACTGAATGACACATTATTCGTTCCAGTTTCTGACGCTAATCACGAATATGGGCTTGGTTTCGTTTTTAAAATACTTTCTTCAAAACAAAAATGCAAAATACTATTCTAAAAATTTAATAATTTCTACGTGATACCTGCTCTCGGAGGCACTAGGGGCTTCCATTGAGTTTAACGTTGCCCATCGAAATTTTTCCATCTATTGATAGATCAAGGTCGGAACTACTTATGTCCCAAATATTTCCAAAATTTGTCTTATGCCATAGAAGAAAATCAATTTTGAAAACTGATATTTTCAGCCAAAGTCACTACTTTTGATGCAGTTTTTATTTGAGCGAAAGAGAATTAGAAGCTCACACGTTCAGGCGTTGTAGTATTCGAGGCTCTCTATCTAATGGTGTTTTCAAAATTTTATGAAAATATTTCATTTCGATACAGTATGGCTCTAAAGTGAACAAAATATGAGTTTAGGACTTACCGAATACAGGTCACTGTATGAGAACGAAACCATTCCCAAAGGTCGAGTTTGTTTCAAATCGAAGAAAAATGTTGATTCTATTTATGTAAACAATTTGAGGTCTTTATTTTGTATGATTGCCGCGATATGAGCAATACAAAGTTGTCAATATGAGAGATGTCGCATTTTTCAAAAGCGAGTCGAAGTTTTAAAATGCTTGTTTCTCAGCAACTATGCAATATTTTTTCAAACGGAAAAAATATAGACTAATTGTTCTACTATACTTTGTTCGATTTACACTTTTTGTAAAGCTGAGGCTTTGCGTGTTCTAACGGTTAAAAATTTGAACTCTCTAGCACGGAGGTATAGGTTTTTAGCTTTTATGTAGGAACATTATTATCACCCATCAACCAACAATGATGAAATAAGTTCTTTTTAAAGATCACCATCGGGATTATTCTACCCTTTGAAGAAACACATTTGCATATTTGACTGCTACAATTACGTATAAATCGATCATACCAAAAAGAGAATGCCTCAACTTATATTAAGTAAAATTTGGGACATGACTTCTCTTCTCGTACACGTATACGATATCTTTTGGAGAATGAGAATGAATGTCAGTTTTCTAGAAAAATCAGCCTTATTTCTTGTCCAATATTGTTGTTAGAAATTAGTTTACTTCACTTTTGAAAATTAAATGTTTTGTTTGGTATTGAGGAAATCTAACGTTTGTTAGACAAAACGTTCAATTTTCAAAAGTGATACTAATTTCTAACAACAATGTCTAATGAGAAAGAAGATTAATTTTATTAAATAAATATATCATCTTCACTCCGGTGTGCTATCTTAATAAAAGATTGGATGTCATTTTCTACTTAGATAGAGATGTTTTTCATTGCGACTGTGCTCTGAATACTAAGAATTAGATAATCTTTAGTAGTAGTGAAAACAGGAAAATAATTGTGTATAATGCTTCTAATTTAAAACACCAATACATTAGTGGGTGACTTTACAGTTTAGACGCGAAATACTAATCAGACAATTTATTTATCATACTTATGAATAATGATATTTTGAAATAAAGACAAAAATTAGACTAGAATTGGACAAGTTGTCAAGTCCAAAAATCAAATGAGATATCGCGACAACTTCATATGATATATCACATTATAAATAATTATTATTTTCCAATATTGTTGTTAAATTATACATCATATCGTATCCAACATTCACCCAATTATCGATGATTCTTTTTTTTTCTTGCTCAATAACCATTTATAATGGCGACATTGATTATTCACAATCATTGTGACTTCAAACATCGATCACATGATGAGTGACATATACCAATGACAAAATTACCGGTTTTGAATAATATCGATGTGGCACGATGTTTTCGCTTCTCCAAATCGATTTTTTATAATACAACTACACGTTCCCGAATCGTTTTGTGTCACTTTCGATAACGTGAATATAGCATTTTCACCATTAAAATTGGATTTTGGTACTATATTTGGTGAAACAAGCTGAAATGGAATAGTTTAGTTAGTTAATAAATATCGAGAATGCGAAAAAATACACACACCTTATCATTATGGTACCACTTGACTTCAATTTGAGGACCTGATATTGCACATAGTAATTTCAATGGTTTGCCTTCTTGCACAGATATATTTTGTAATGGTTGAATAATACGTGGTGTCGCATCGGAAGCTGATCGAGCGACAACTAATTGAGCAATCGTTTCTTCTCGTCCAAGTTTGTTTATTATGTGGCATTTAATAGTTCCATTGTCTTTTATTGTCAATGGTCCAATATCTAAATAATGAATATCATGCGCTTGGAGTAGTCGGTATTTGCTATTGTTTTCATGATTATTCGATATTTCTTTATCATTATGATACCATGTTAACGACGGCATTGGATCACCACCGAAACAACATTTGAATTTAGCTAAAATGAAGACATCTTAAATTTGCTTTTAATAGTTGATTAGCATATTTACCTATTTCATTTGGAAGAACGAGTAAAGACTGTGGACGAATAACCAAATAGGGTGGAACAAACTTATTGTCTAATGACCATGAAACATGATGTGTTATTTGGTCAGTTTTAGTTTTATTCATTTGTCTATCCTGGTAAATATGATGTTCGTTTGATTCCGTAATATTATGTTTCAACTGTTTTTCATTGACAATTACACCATTTTCCAAATTAGATGACTGTCGTTTGCGAATATGTACTAGAATAAATGGATGAATACATTTCTGAGACCTAAATCTTTAATATTGCTTCCTGCATAAGTTAGAAAACTAATATTTCGTTATAATTTTATTAATGCTGGAGATAGATGCACACCATGCACAAATCACACACGGTAAAAAAAAGCGCCCAAAAAAGCGCCAACTAAAAAACGTTCACGAAAAGTATACTGGAAAAAACGTCGACAAAAATTCGTCCAAGCGTAGTATTTAAGTGCATACTATATAGACGACTCGTTTCACTGCACTAGCTTATCCGGAAATCTTTTTAAATTCTATTTTTCCATCGAACAAAAAACTCATACGAAAAAATTCGTCCAGAAATAAAACCGTCTAGCAAAAAAGCATACCAAAATGTGACGAAAACACCGCCCACTAAAAAGCATCCACTTTTGGACGCTTTTTTTTCTTTACCGTGCACACGTCAGACATATCAATATTTTTACTAATAATTCTATAATGCAGAGATTTCAAAAGCTTGACTGCAACATGTTGACGAAACCGTTCAGTGAAAAAATTAATCAGAACCTTACTTCCTATACCTCAAAGAGGATGCTATTTCTACAGTGAACAACTTCAAGCTTCAACTTTTTCAAATATTCACTCTCATGCAATGTAATATACCTAAACCGTTATCTAATGCTCGCTTAAACTGTGATAGACGTTTCATTATACGATCAATAAATTTGTGTATAGAAGCTGAAAAACAATATGAATATCTGCAATAATCCGTATCTGTCTGAATTCGTCGATGTGATTTTAGACTTACCTTTTTCACCATTTGATTTTCTAGAATTTTCACTACTGTTTAATGCATCTTCATCGATAAACAAGGTCGTATGTAAATCATTAACACACACTGAAACGTGATGTTGATGTTTATTATCATTCACGTGTGCGTGATTATTTTTATTATATCGTTGTTGTTGTTCTGCATGATCATTAAATATAAGATGTTGATTATTATTACTGTTATTAGAATGATTTTCTATTTGATAAACGGGCAAATACGTATCAGGTTCATATCTCATACGGACAGAATCTTTATTATCCATTCGTTCCCAAATAGCCTGATGAGGCAATGAGATCGGAGGTGGACCTTTGAGTACAGATGGTTGAACATATCGATTTTCTTGGTAGTTTGATAATGGCTAAAAGTAGATTAAGTAGTATGTTGCACCGTAAGAGATGCACTTCACATGTCATTAAAACTAACTAAAACAGTTTTTAATGACTCTGTTAATGCCAGATTTACGATAGCTAGTATTATATAAACCTTAGTTACTTTAAATAATGAGACATTTAGTTAGCATTGCGAATGGGATCTCAAGCATTAGGTGGGGATATAAAGCTGAACGTAGTGCGAATCGAATAAAGATAACCCTTGAAATGAAATCCATAGAGGTGCTGTGACAAAATAAATTTCTTTAATAATCTGCCGATCGAAAAAACAGAAAAAATTTTCAATTATTCGAGGAGTGCGTACCCTCCCGATATCTGCAGCCCCGTCTTCAATTAATATGAAGAGGGTGGTGAATGCTATTTAACCTTACCATTGGTGGCTGAAAGGAATTCTCCTGATAGGTTGTATTTCGCTGATGCTGACTAATACCACCATTATTTATCTGTCGTATCGATTGATTATCACTATCACTTGATGTATCAAGTGTTGTACATCGACTACTAACGGTTGAACTTCTTTTACGTTGATCTTTTTGTTGTTGTAGTTGTGATGAGCAAGGAATGGATGCTGATATGTTTGTACTATTTTGTGGTATTCGAGTATTAGTTTGATAGTGTGTTTGACGTCTCCAATCTTCTAGTGAAATATTATTTTGTTCTTGATAGCCCCCTCCTCCTAGTGATAACATCGACTCAGAGTCAGTAATTGGTTCGAGTGCGGTTGTATAAGATAGAACACAATTCGGTACACGAACATCGTTGTCAATCATCGATCTCATTATTGTATGATAAGCATCATCGGTTGTATGCCGTTTTCGACGATCACGCAGACGTTCGCGATATGTTGCCGATCGACTAGTTCTATTATTAACTAATACTTGTGATCTATCATGATTAGATGAAAAATAATCATTTAAAGTTGTTTTGTTTAATTCCGATGGTACAATAATAGATGAATAACGTCGTCCATCGGATGATGATTGCGTTGTTAAGGATCGTCTTGTATCATAACACCGTTGTTTTTGCTCTTTATAGAGTAAATTAATATCTTTCAATTGGTCAATAGGTAATCTTTCAACAATAATTAAATCGCGTTTATTTTGATGATTTAATACGGGTAAACTATAATTTTCTATTCGGTTATATCTATGTGCATTTGTTGTTGATGCTAGTGGACGACGAGATGATTTATTCTTAAGTGGATTAGAATCTCTTAAACATATGTGAACTGTATCAGGAAATATAAAGTCAGATATTCGATTGAAACTTTTCGATACGGGTTTATATAATTGATCAGATCGTGAATGTTGTGATGATCGGGGTGGTGGCAACCATCCATTTGGAAAATATCGTGAATTATCAAACGAATGCATTATAATGACTAAAATAATAAACAACGACAATTAGTCGAAAAGAACATTTTTCAAGGATCGAAACTCATTTGAGTGTTGACGGCTTTGTAGTTTCAGGCTTTACAAAAAAATAAAAGTTAAAAATATGCTTAGTACATACACATAAAAGAGACATATTATATTATATAAATGGTATTAGATATCTATGGTAGAAAATAAGGGAAAGAGAAAGCAGTGATGAAAATATATTTTGTTTCAGCTGATAGAAAAATTGACATTATATAACAGTGTACGTATATATGTCTGTGTGTGTGTGTGTGTATATATATATATATATTTGTATATATACACTTTTTTATTGCATTTATATAAAATAATACCACAGGATACAGTCGGTTAATGCTCCTTCAGTAATTCAACACTTGTTGAGATCACCTGTATGTTATCATAAATTGAACCCTCACAATAAATACCTACATATATATATATATAAAAAGGAAGAAGAAGCCACATATTATAACTAAGAAAGTGTTATTTTATGCAACTGCGTGTAAAATCAAGGTTTATTATAATTAATCTAAACCAGAAATGACATTCTCTGTGTGCCAAGTTGGCAATCTTATTTTGCCTTCAGTTTGACGGCTACTATTCTAAATACTTGCCTGAAAAGAAATCTTCATTTTTACGTCTGAACTTAATTTATAAAGTCATTTACCTAACAGTCATTAGGTTATTGTTTTCTAATTATCGCTATATAGTTTATTTGACTGGTCTACAGACAACTACCATCTGCTGCATAATAAAAAGAACGTAACGAATCAAAAGTTAAAAGGTCTTTAATAAAACATTGTAAAACGAATAATTGATAGAACACGTGTCATAATGACATCTCTACAACAGTTGACTTTTTTCATGATGTAATAAAAACTTGATGAGATTTGGATCAAATATCGGTAGTTCAATTAATGGTATAAATAAAAAAAAATTCTGTATAATTTTGTGCACTGACGCAATTTTATTTAGCAATTATCTTTTGTATAACAAAGCAAATGGTTTCTAGTTTCTTTTCTTGAATAAATACTATGTTTATTTAGTTGTTCTATTTCTATCATAATCAATTATGGCAAGCAGAAAATATGTAAAAATTTTACTATTCTCTCCCCCTTCTCATCGTATTAAAATAACTTGTTGTACAACTTCCAATAAGATGCTACTGTACAATAATTATACCTGTTTATTGATATTATTCAGGTCATGTGTCTTTCTTTCTTTTCCTTTTCTTTTATTACAATTTCCCCAATGAATTTCTCTTTCTCTCTATTCGAGATTAATTGCAGTTGTTGTTATGTAAACTACGACTCGATTTACATCGAAAAAATGATGAACAACTACATAATACAATCAGAAGACAGAAATAATAATAGAAAATACTAACTGTTAATAGTAAACATGGACAAAATACACAATCATAAATATGTAAATTATGTACATCAAACTAAAATATCTGTAAATGTATGTATATATATTGTATTATATCAGACTCAAAAATCTTGCCGAAAGAGAAAATCAATAAAGTTAAGAGGAAAAAATAGCCAATATCCAAATATAATTCTTTTCATCATTAACAGAAATTTTCTACAATATTTTTTTTTAGCCTCTTGAAACGCGTTCATCAAGGTTTTAGTTTAATCTTGATTTCTGAATGTGATGATTCTTTTCTATGTAAAAGAACAACCATCATAACAGGTAATACTTCACTTCATTTACAAAACAATTGCAAAAAATAATCATTACCTAATTTCAAAATTATCTTTTTAATAAAATAAAACTGACGGTAGAGTTCGTGTAGATCGAAGATGAATCATTGAAAAAATACAGTTTCAAGTCTTATATTTTTGTATAGATTAGAACAATATTTGCATATAATTCTAATTCTTGATTTCTTTTTTTACCCATTATACTCATCCTAATCTGTGGACTTGAAACCATCTATAGAATATATTTCAAAAAAAAAGTGTCTAATATACTTACTCACTCTCTACCTTTCTTCGTTATTCCATATGACATCTCAGTCAGAAATAAAAACAATCACTAAACACACACACACACACACATATAAAGACTTTTTTTTATTATCATTTGTCAAAAAAAACAATACAAAAAGACATTTTTTTCTATCGTAATTTACATGTCACTACAACTTATTTTTTTCATTCTTTTGCTGATGAAAATATATTTCTTTTTCTCTTTATGTTGATAGAATCGTCCTTCGCTTTTTTTTTTCTTCTTTTTTTTTTCCAAGACTATGTATATACTGTAGTCTCAATAAAAATATTTTGTTATTGTGAATAATGTTCTAAACACATTTGATGCGCGCACAAGCATCAAATCTCTTGCTATTTTTTTCCTCTCCATCTTGTTGTTCACAATGATTGCAACAAATGCCTAAAGGAAATAAATTTCTTTTCCTTTTTATTTTCAAAATTCGACATCGACTATAACTGCGAGATTTATAATAAACATGATTGCTTTTTTCTGCCGCTCTATTTTGATTGTCTCGGTGAACAGAGAAAGAGTTGAGCTCTCGATAAATGTTCTTCAATCATTGTGTATTTGACTGAATAACTTGATAATGTATACAAAAAAAAATATATATATATATATTTTTTTTTTTGTTTACTTCATCATTATCATCATCATCATCATCATCATTGTAGTTGGGAGATCATCTTAAGACATAACAACTGTGCGTGTGTGTATATAATTGTTCAAAAGTTTAATGATCGACAGTCGATATATATCTGATTCTATCTATATCGACGTTTCTTTTTTTGCAGATATGAACAAAGCGTGTAACTAGAGACAAGAAACCTATCCTACATATTATTTAAAATTTTTTGGGTAGTTTTTTGAACTATGTTCCATCTCAATTAAACTCATGTAAAATTTTAAATATTTACACAAGTTTTGTATTTTAGAACGCTTAATAGATAGAAACATAATATAAAAGAAGATATTGTTTAACCATGACTAATTAGTGTAGTTTTTTTCTCTTTGTCAAATGCTTATTCAAAGAGCTAGCGTGAAAATTTGCATTATAGCTTTTAACATTTTACTAGGGATAAAAAGAAAAAAACACAAGTGAAAGAACAATAGTGAATCATATTTTTGCTTTTTTATAGTTCTAGAGAACGGCGTGCCGAGAAACTGAGAGTAGACTATGTGCATCCTAATCATTATTTTCAAATAGAGCTTTTTTTTATTATTCTCTCATCTGTCTCTTGGACACATTAAATTCTTCTTGTTAAATGATATCATAATACGAGTTTACGACTTATACCATGGTCTCCTTCACCAAGGTTCTTTTTTTCTTTCGCTTATACAACAGTAGGTAAAAAGATTAAATTAGACAATATGTCAACAGCAGAGAAATGACAACTTATTAGTTATGATAAAGTTCATTTGTTGATATATTGGAAAAATGATAAATCCTTCGTGTAGACAAAGCATCCGTTATATTTAAACGTACCAACAGCACAAATGTTTTTAACTTAGCTAGTAAAAGTTGTTTCTTAACTAGAATTAGTTCTACGACATATGTTACGTTAATAGTTGCAGCAAAACACTCTACATCCAGTAGTTGAGTAATACAAGTGCATCTCTTGAATAGATGACATAAAACTCCTCAACCTTTTAAATATGGTGTTCATTGGCGGACCACCAGCAGGGCAATTGCCCCTCCTGGAAAAATATCAGGGGCAATAAATAGTTATTGCTAAGTAGTTATTGCCCTGTGAAGAATATTTCGCACCAGAGTATCTGTCCAAAGTTTAAAATAAAAAAGAGCAATTCTTGATCGAAAAATCTGTTGTACATTTTAAATGAAGGAAAAGTGTGTTAGCACGAACAAAAATTATGAAAGGAAGCACGCTTGTGTATGCACTACTCTAAAATATTTATTATCCTCCTAAAAACATTTTCCCGGCTCGCCCATGATGGTGTTACTTTAAATTCTTATTACTAGATAATCAATACAAAATATATCGAAAACTGTTTTGAATGTTAGGATTCTGAGGGTAAACTAAAATTTAAGTGTATCATTCTCATCCTAGTGCTTTGTTACCTGTCAAATAATTGATGATAATAATTTAAATATACGATTTGGAGGAGTTTGGCGTGTTCAAGAACATTTCTTTTTAAAAATATAACCTAACAGTGGCTGTTTTTAACAAAAAAAACACACATGAAATTAGAAACGTGTGTGTTATCCACAAATTAATAAGATTTATTACTCGTACCATTTGTTTGTTGTATGTGTTTATATACATATATATATAAATATACGTTTCTCCTGTAAATAACAGCAAAAGAAACTCTATTTACAAGAATATTATGATTGTATTTTCTCACCCCCGCGATATCGACATAGTGCCGGTGGATATCTTGTATATCTATTTTTATTAATAATAATAACAATAGTCTTCCTGTTTAACATGTATAAAAAGAAGAAACATAGCACAAGTTATTTTTCAGAATACAACAGAATAGCAAGCACATTTCTCTACGTAATGAATATATCCGAAAAAACGATTGTCACTGGTTTAAATTTTTAAAAAAAAGTCATGAATAAAAAATACACTTTTCTTTTTTTAAATAGTCACATAGTAGGATGTGTAATCTGGTTTTTAAACATGATTGGTGATTTCTGTCCGTTAGGTATGGATCCAACTTAAGAAACGAAAACAAAAAAAGAATTAGTCTCATCTGTCTACTCTCTTTCAGATTGACAGCAATATTGCAGCTACTATACTTACAGCTTACCCAAAATAAAATATGAACACTTGAAATAAAAAATTACAATTCACAATCATAGAAAAATCTTAATTCTCTGTTCATTCATAAGCAAAATCACAAGTTTGTCGAAAGGAGATAAGCTTTTCTATTCTTTACACTGCAACACACATATACTATATTGACACGAATTGAGATAAATACAATAATTTGTTATTTACTTATGATGTCAATGTTCTCATTATATTTCTCGAGAAGTTGCAAATGAAAAATACCGATGCACCGACTCCTCATTTTGATGGTAGCTTGTCGCATTAATTGAGCTCTACCCATTTGCAGAATGTCTTTTAGTTCCAGAGAAAACAGCAACATTAGGCTACGCCACAAGCGATTGCAACACGAACCCTAGATTTCAAATCAATCACATGTTCGAAAAAAATGTACTTTTAAACTTATAAAAAAGAATGAGTGTATTGTTTGTTAATATCATAATCCATATATTATATGAAGTCTATCATTTTTATTTTCTTCTGGATGATATTTCCACTAATGCCGCATACTGGCATGCCCATCACCCTCTGAAAAAAATGTAGTTTCTTATGCAAAGGTTAATTAGTTCCATTACCTGCATCTGACTATTAGAAGTTAATTTTATTCTTAAACTCGAAACTTCAATGTCATTTCATTCTTATTTCTTTCTTCGTGTCATTGTTCTTCTAATATACACCACATATACTTCGTGTGAGCGATATTGTGCTTATGAGCGAGATGCGAAAAGAGTTTTGAGCCCAGAATGATTAATTTAAAGAAAGTTTAATTAATTCAAAGAATATGTATTATCTGTTCGCTCGAGCACAAATTTCACTAGACGGAAAATCACTATCGGTCATTTTTCAAAGTTTTAAACGTATTGTTGATTACAAATCACTCGTCGTTCTATTCGTATAATAATGAGATACTTAAGCCACAATAATGCTCGTTCATCTTATGGCTCTTATACTTTCAGTGTTGTATAAATCATAATTAAATCGTTTAGTTCGGTTTATTAAACATTTTCGCTTTATCAATCGAATCAAACACGAAGTTTCGAGATGATTTCGAGGACAAATTTTCGTCTAAAAATAGTATGAAAGTAAACGCTTTTCTGCCATAAGGTCACATATGTTAGTTATACAGCACGTGCTTTAGCTCTCAGTTTTGTACAAACAATAAAGAAAGAGAGGATAGGCAATCAATCAATATTACTTTACTACCGATCTTGTCTTGTTCGACTAACTAAACATTTTAGGCTCTAACTTCTAGACAGAGAAATGTCACTCCCTCAGCTGTTTACTTCTTTGCTTTATGAAAAGAAAACCACTCTGAATGTGGTCGATTCCCTCCCTCTCTCGTCCGAAGACTTGAGACGGTGCGATCATCAACGGAAGCAGGC